TTTTTATATATTCTTAAATATTTTAAAAATAATTGCAATAGAATTCAAGTTAATTTATACAGCAATATAAATGTTTCCACTTATTCATATATTGCTTTTCTTTTGATTTTCTCATTCATTCATTGAGTCCAAAATAGGAATTTAAGTGTTTATTTTTCTTTTCATAAGTATGGATTTTATCTTTAAAGTATAGCAATTTGTGAACATAAGCTTAAGTAGCTAGAACCACAAATTTTGGAGCTTTTTTGTGTGGGTGACTAGGCCAAGGCTGCGGGAATGTCAAAACAGTTGCTCATGCAAACAAATAAAACACGAACAAGTCTCGGATTCCTCTTAAAAATATATTAAGATTGTTTGTGATGTTCATATCCGTTATTTTATTTTTATCCCCATGGCATTGCAGTTTGAGCAATTGGCCTTCACCTGGATGGAACGACAGAAACTGGGCGGCAGCTACTCCTCGCATCGAGCGCAGAGCGAGAAGCATGTGGTTGTCTGTTCAACTACGCTGCACGCGGATACGATAATGGACTTTCTGAACGAGTTCTATGCGCACCCATTGCTGCAAGACTTCTATGTGGTGCTGCTCAGTCCCATGGAGCTGGACACAACGATGCGAATGATATTGCAGGTGCCCATTTGGGCGCAGCGCGTCATCTACATTCAGGTTGGTTAAATAAATATTTGACAAACTGTGATTCGATACCAAATACCAAATGCCAAATGCCAAATGCCCAATGACATTTTGACAAACGCACAGGGCTCCTGCCTGAAGGACGGCGACTTGGCACGGGCGCGCATGAACGAGGCGGAAGCCTGTTTCATACTGGCTGCTCGCAACTATGCGGACAAAACGGCGGCCGATGAGCACACCATACTACGGTCCTGGGCCGTCAAGGACTTTGCGCCGAATGTGCCGCAATATGTACAGATATTCAGGTGAGTTCTGTTGCATGTAACGGGCGACACTTTGTCACGCCTCAGTTAATTCGATTTCTTTCACTGTTTGAGCGCTGTGCGTGCCACAGAACCAATGCCGTCAATATATAGCTAACTACATGTATTTACATTCATCTTTCATTCTTTTCCTCTTTTTTTTTCGTTTTGTATTTGCTCTCTCTCTATACATATATTGATGTGCGGAAATTCGCTGTGGCCAGACCGGAGCACAAGCTGCATGTGAAGTTCGCCGAGCACGTGGTCTGCGAGGATGAGTTCAAGTACGCCCTGCTGGCCAACAATTGCACCTGTCCCGGCGCCAGCACGCTGGTCACCCTCCTGCTGCACACATCGCGAGGACAGTACGTAAAAAAAAAAACACATGTATATACATCATATATTCATATATTCATATATACTATATGTCCCCTGTAATGCCCGGTCAACTGTTAATGGTCAGCMAACTCTAGCAAAAAGCGTGAGAGAGAGAGAGAGAGAAAAAAAGAAAAAAACATTTAGCTGCTATGCGTCAGCAGTTTTGCCGCCTTGATGCGTGTCACCTGTGTCATCTGGCATTTCGCATCACATTTTCTGCTATCCTTCGCCATGCCGGGCAGGCACTCAGGCGACCAAATTACTTAATCAACAGAAAAGGCCATAGATAAGCTTTATAGCTGGCTATTTGTTTTTACTCATTTCAAATTCTAGTTTCTTTGATATGCAGCCAAATAGCTCTGCACCTGCGGCAACACATTTATTTCGAATTTTAATAGGTTTTAAACTCCTTTACAACCCATTCAGCATTTTTTTTTTTTTTTTTTTTTTACTTTTATTTATTTAATTTTATTTATTTATTTGTTTACTTTTTTGTATGCTTAATTTTTCTTTTTGTACATTTTGTGTCAAATTATTTTTCCCATTTTATTCTGCACTTGCGGCAATAAATTTATTTGGAATTAAAATATGTTTCAAACCGCTTTAAAATCTTTTCATATTTTTTTCCAATTATATTCCTATATTTACATATACATATATTTTTTCGTATTTATATATAGCTATAATTATTATTATTATTATAAAACTGGCACAAGGACGGACGCATTTGTAAAAGGGAAATATGCGCAAATCGCGTCAGTTTGAAGTGCGAGTTTTAATTAAATTGAATGCGCAATTGTTTCTGGCAGCAAAACTGAGTTTTATGCAAATGCTGCACGCTCATGAAGTGTGTAAAAAAAGCAAATAAAGATTAAATTAAATTAAATGAATGGAATACTCTCGGGCTGTCTGTGGCTTCAACACGCAAGCCAGATTAATCATACGCCGCGTATAACTTGACGCATTAGTTAACTAAAGAATTCTAATGAGTCTGTTCAACCCAGCACACAATTGTGTGCATAGCTTTAAAATATTTGTGGCCAGACACCAGAGAGAATCCGAAACCGAATAGGAATCCGAACAATTGAAACTAAAAACCTGAAAACCGAGCTCATTTTTCTGGCTTGCACCTATTAAACTTGCCTTTAACTTTTATCTCGCTGCCGTTTCGCGCTTTGTAGGGAAGGTCAACAGTCGCCGGAGGAATGGCATCGTCTCTATGGTAAATGTTCCGGCAACGAGATTTATCACATTGTGCTGGGGGACAGTCGCTTCTTCGGGGAGTACGAGGGCAAAAGTTTTACCTATGCCAGCTTTCATTCGCATCGCAAGTAAGTGATGATACTTCAAAATGCTTTTTAGTTAACAAAACTGAATTGACGTTTGACGTTTCGAGCCAAGCGGAGGGGCGTGGCGTTGAGTGGCGTGTGGGGAGTGGCTGGGCACAAATACATGCCAACTTGCACGCCTCTTTATCTCGTCATTCATATTTATTTCGACGCTTGCGTCCATTCAAATACAAATTTATGTAAAATGCAAAAAAAAAAAATAAAAATAAATAAATAAATAAATAAATAATAATGCTGAGCACATATATATATTTTTGTTATATTTAGGTATGGCGTCGCTTTGGTGGGCGTGCGTCCGGCCGAGCTGCCAGAATTCTATGAGGATACCATACTACTGAACCCTGGGCCCAGGCACATCATGAAAAAGGATGACACGTGTTATTATATGAGCATTACCAAGGAGGAGAATTCGGCATTTGTCGTTAATCAAAATCAAACTACGGATACAACAACGGCAGCCGGTGGGGCTGGCAGCAGTGCTGCTAGCGCCACCACACATCACACACATGCAGCAACTGGTGGGTACAATGCGGCACATGAATGTCAAATAAGTGTGTGTGTGTGTATGTATGTGTATTCGTGTGTGTGTGTGTGTGTGTGTATTTGTGTGTGTCATCAAAAGAATTATAAACTACCAAAAGACGAAACACACACGTTTGAATGACTTTGAATGTTGCTCAGAAAAAATATCCATATATTTATCAAACATATATAAAAATATTTCTATTTCATTTTCTATTTATAATTTAGCAACAAGTTTTTCTTATTTATGTTGATTTTGTTTGGGGCTGCCTTCGTTTGCGTTCGTTATCGGCAAAGTTTCTAATTCATTTGTCTGTCTTCAAGTAATTTGTTTTTCTTAATTTCATCTCGTTGCGGTTGTCAATTTGTCTGACTTAAAAATAAGAAATAAATTTGAAAAAAAAAAGAAACAACAACAAACTGAAACGCTTTAAATGTGTGTCTGCGCGTGCCCGTCTCTAATTAATATCATTTATTTCTGTCTTGAAAGTTGACGTTTTTYATTTGTTCATTAATTAATTATCTTGCGCTCAAAGTTCGTTTCAAAAGCTAACACAACAAAAATAGATTCAGCAAGCAAAAAACAATACAAAAAATATGAAATATTCAATACAAAAGTTCCACCGCTTTGTTATGTTTGTTCTCTGGCTCTCTCAGAACGTCTCTAACATCTTTCTTGTACTGTTTTTTTTTTTAAACTTTGATAATTTAAATGCCTCTTGGCTCTATTCAAATGCTATTTATGTTTCTCTTGTTTCGAGCTTAGAAAATATATATACTTAACATAAAAAAAAGAAACATTTACATACAGTTTAAATGGATAGCATATATTTTTAGAAATTTTTTTAGTCATTTCCAATATTTTTTAAGTTTTGACAAAATAGAAATTTTTAAAATTTAAAGTAAAAAAAATAAGTAGCAATGATTGAAAATTTAAAATAAAAAAAATTTTATAAAATTTTCCTTTCGAAGAA